GAGTACCCCACTGGGTGTCAGCTACCTGGTCAAGTCTCTGGTGACCTCCCCACTGGGTGTCAGCGACCTGGTCAAGTCTCTGGTGAGCTCCTAACTGGGTGTCAGCTACCTGGTCAAGTCTCTGGTGAGCTCCTAACTGGGTTCAGCTACCTGGTCAAGTCTCTGGTGACCTCCCAACTGGGTGTCAGCTACCTGGTCAAGTCTCTGGTGAGCTCCTAACTGGGTGTCAGCTACCTGGTCAAGTCTCTGGTGACCTCCCAACTGGGTGTCAGCTACCTGGTCAAGTCTCTGGTGACCTCCCCACTGGGTGTCAGCTACCTGGTCAAGTCTCTGGTGAGCTCCTAACTGGGTGTCAGCTACCTGGTCAAGTCTCTGGTGACCTCCCAACTGGGTGTCAGCTACCTGGTCAAGTCTCTGGTGACCTCCTAACTGGGTGTCAGCTACCTGGTCAAGTCTCTGGTGAGCTCCTAACTGGGTGTCAGCTACCTGGTCAAGTCTCTGGTGACCTCCCAACTGGGTGTCAGCTACCTGGTCAAGTCTCTGGTGACCTCCCCACTGGGTGTCAGCTACCTGGTCAAGTCTCTGGTGACCGTCCCACTGGGTGTCAGCCACCTGGTCAAGTCTCTGGTGAACCCCGGAGGTGGATTGATTTAAGAGATGAAGACAAACATCTGATTCTATCAATGAATTCACTCCAGTCTACAAGCATTCCACTTACAGACATGCTTCAACGTGTGCTAATATCATCATCGTGTGCTAACAGCATGCTCGTGTGCTAACAGCATGATCGTGTGCTAACAGCATGATCGTGTGCTAACAGCATGATCGTGTGCTAACAGCATGCTCGTGTGCTAATATCATCATCGTGTGCTAATAGTAATATAATGATCATGTGCCTTGGCTTTTCATGATTTTATCAACTTTGATCAATTGTCAGTTGTCAGTTGCGAACGATGTTAAACCAACTCAGTAACTGTCTAACTGGCTTACTTTACCTTGAAATAGGTCCACCCAGTTACCGCTGGTGGCATACATGAAATAGGTCCACCCATTTACCGCTGGTGGCATACATGAAATAGGTCCAACTATTTACTCCTGGTGGCATACATGAAATAGGTCCAACTATTTACTCCTGGTGGCATACATGAAATAGGTCCAACTATTTACTCCTGGTGGCATACATGAAATAGGTCCAACTATTTACTCCTGGTGGCATACAGGAAATAGGTCCAACTATTTACTCCTGGTGGCATACATGAAATAGGTCCACCTATTTACTCCTGGTGGCATCAATGTTTTAACTCAATAAAAGATAAAGACGGCTACGAAGAATAGGGAGAATAATTTAAGTTTAGTTGAAAACAGTGGCGTATGAGGGGGTGGGCTACAGTCCTCCCCGGGCGGGACTTTTTTCCTTACATTGAGAAGTGGCACTTTTGGCCGCCTGTAGAGTTGTGTCGTTTCCCGTGGAATTGGGGCGGTAAAAAGCTTTTCCAGCTATGGGCGGCACTAATCCTGGCTACGCCGCTGCTTGAAAATCATGCGTTGTACAAAACGCAATTGTAGGGTTACCTCCCCAGTTCATGTGCCATGTAGGGTTACCTTCCCAGTTCATGTGCCATTTAGGGTTACCTTCCCAGTTCATGTGCCATGTAGGGTTACTTTCCCAGTTCATGTGCCATGTAGGGTTACCTTCCCAGTTCATGTGCCATGTAGGGTTACCTTCCCAGTTCATGTGCCATGTAGGGTTACCTTCCCAGTTCATGTGCCATGTAGGGTTACCTTCCCAGTTCATGTGCCATGTAGGGTTACCTTCCCAGTTCATGTGCCATGTAGGGTTACCTTCCCAGTTCATGTGCCATGTAGGGTTACCTTCTCAGTTCATGTGCCATGTAGGGTTACCTTCCCAGTTCATGTGCCATGTAGGGTTACCTTCCCAGTTCATGTGCCATGTAGGGTTACCTTCCCAGTTCATGTGCTTTGTTGGGTTACCGTCCCAGTTCATTTGCTTTGTTGGATCATCTTCTCAGATCATGTGAGATATTTCATCACATGGGTTTGTTCTGCAAGTACTCCTTTAAATATCAGTGACACCAAAACCAAAGTGTAGATTAAAAAAAATTATGAGTTTTAATTATATTTATGAGTTTATTAATATAAAAATGAATTTAGAAGTTATCACAATGTGTTCGGTTAATTAGTGGAAGGATTTCCGAACATAAATAATTGTAATAATTTGATTACATTTATTCGGAAACTATATTTATAAAGATATCGTCCTACAGATATCTCACACATTAATCCATTGATACACAGATGGCTCCTAAATTTCACATTGTGGCAGAAATGTCATACGTTTTGGGTACCTGAATGTCACGTGACATCAAAGGAAGTACTCGCCCACCCAGTTGGCGGTTTGATCGATTTATTGTCTATTCTAAAACTTCCCCCAACCGTCACGTGACTTCAAATAAATCAAGTCTAATGGTTCGTTTACCAGAGGCCTGGCACCGAATGTTCCAGACGCAGCCACTACGTGAACAAGATGAATCTCTTCTGTAGGCCACTTGTCCCACTGTACAGAAATCTCAAAACTCACGACCGTACATATTATGAGTTTTAAACCTTTGTGTTGATATTATGAAGTCATGTGACTCGTCATATCGACGGAAGTAGAATATTGTTCATACAATGTATGAATATTTTGCTTTATATTTTGTTCACAATTTAATTGAAGGCAAATTGTACGTTTTATAGTGTAATTTTTTCGAATGAAAAACCAGACATTCAAACAAAAATGCATGATGGGACATGTTAAATAATGACTTAGGTCCATGTTTAATCCAGTGACGTGACAATGCATTGCTAATTTAGGCCCATGTTCAATACAACAGCGTGACAATGAATTGCTGATTTAGCCTTATGTTCATTACAAAGACGTGACAATGAATTGCTGATTTAGCCTTATGTTCATTACAAAGACGTGACAATGTATTGCTGATTTAGGCCCATGTTCAATACAACTACGTGATAATGTATTAGTGGCTTAGCTTTAACTGACTTTGTCTCACCCCAATATAGTGTCATTGTCTTGAATAAGACGCGGGAATGGGAGGGTAATCCCAAACTCCCCAATATTATTTTTATTTTATATAACCCCCCCCCCCCCCCAATGTTCCCCATAACTGTCATGTTCCATTACATTCCAGAGTGCTTAATACCATAAAATAGAAACTTTGGCTCACCCCAATATAGTGTCATTGGCTTGAATAAGACGCGGGAATGGGAGGGTAATCCCAAACTCCCCAATATTATTTTTATTTTATATAACCCCCCCCCCCCACCAATGTTACCGATAACTGTGATGTTCCATTACATTCCAGAGTGCATAATACCATGAAATAGATGAGCTGTGTGCTAGATACCATGAAACAGATGAGCTGTGTGCTAGATACCATGAAACAGATGAACTGTGTGCTAGATACCATGAAATAGATGAGCTGTGTGCTAGATACCATGAAATAGATGAGCTGTGTGCTAGATACCATGAAATAGATGAGATGTGTGCTAGATACCATGAAATAGATGAGATGTGTGCTAGATACCATGAAACATGAACTTTCTTTCATTAATATAAAAATTTACATTTTTTTATAATAGAAGAACAATAATATTCTCTGATTGAAATTCAACCTCTTCCTACTGTACCACCATATTCATTAACCGTAACAGTACTTGATTACTCTCCCTTGATGACTCTGGTTATTGGTTGAAGTACTACGGTAATTAAACAGTCGAATAAAGACGTTGCCTAGGGCTAGGCTCACTGCAGTACCCCAGCCTAGGGCTAGGTTCTCTGCGCTTCACATAAAAATTACCATTACAGAAAATTATAAATTTAATAATTGGTGAAAAGCTTGACCTCACCTACCGAAGTGCTGTCTACTACCCCGTCTGGCAATGGACAGCACCTACCCAAGTGCTGTCTACTACCCCGTCTGGCAATGGACAGCACCCAGCAGCATCTAGCGTTGTTTATCCGTTTGTGACGTAGTTACTTCCCGTTGCACTGGTGGGTTGCTCGTCTTGCCAAACCCCGTTAGCTAAAAATGTTCATTAAAATTTTCTTTTTTTTTTAATTTTATTTTTATTGTTAGTAAATGGAGGAGTTAGAAATCGAGAAACACATTTACTTCTACTTAAATATTGGTGAAATGAATTTTTAACATTTTCATATATTTTTGAGTTCCCGGTATTAAATCGAATCAGGCCAGTTTAAGCATGTACCGGTACCAAAATGTTATTTTTTCTGAGCGCTCTTTGACTTACCATGTGGAGATGCCCAGCTGGAGTAACGGAGGAGATTAGTTTGTTTCAAACACAAGGTAATATTACTGGCATATCTAGCCTAGTGCTTAGGAGACTGATGTCGTGAACTTTTATGTTGTTAACCATAAGTATTTTATCCTGGTGCATATTCAGTTAAGTTATTTTTTAATGCCCTACATGTTACAATGATGTACACTCATCCCTACCATGTCCTTATTGTCATATTGTGCAATATACTCATCACTAAAAATGTCCTATGGCCTTTATGTGATACAAAGCCACTGTGGAGAATTTTGGCAGTACACTGATGTCTTTAATAGCCTCCCTTACTTGAAAAAAGCAATAGAACTTTGATCATCTGATTCAAATATGAATATCTGTATTTGTTCACAAAGAATTATCTTGACTATGATATTATGTATTATTTCATGAATACCAGCTGATCAATGAAGAATTATCTGGACTATGCTAAACATTGCATAAAATGAAATCATTGGTGAATTTTTGTAATTGTTTTAAGAGAAGGTTTCATGTGTATTTTTATAATTTCTCTTGTTCCATTAAAATCATTTGCTAATAAACTAGGAGGCATTTATAATAATTACAACTGGTATTTTCGTGTCGATGTCAGTTTGTAACTTATCATCATGGGTGAAGTACTCAAGAAATATTATTATTAAGTTGAATAGTTTAATCCATCATCTAAGTTTCACCAACAAAAAATATGTCACAAATATTTGCAAGCGCACACCACCTTGAAATTTTTCAACAAACAGAAGACCAGATTAGTGTTAACTTTGTTTAATGGAGGTTCTCTCACACACGCACACTAACAATCATCGAAAAAACCTTTCAACAAATCTTAAATTATTTTGAAACAACCGGTCCTGGTAATGGAACTAGCCAGCCTTGATAGGAAGTCATGCCGCAAGCCATTGGCACCTGTAATGTAATAGACACAAGACATTAGCTTCGCTTCAATGGCGTTAACAACGCACATGGTCAGAATATAAGCTACCGGTCATCTCTGAACATTTAACATAAAAGAATACGTACACATAAAGATAATAGCAATGAGTTTAGGGGACATCAGTTAAGCAGGGGAGTATTAAGTTTATTGAGAACATCAAAAAAATCAATGGAACAAATATAGTTGAGACTTCTACTGGGTCAACAGGCAAGTTTATCAGGAAATACAACTACAGATGGTGATGCATTAGCAACAAGAAGAGAGTGGAAGAACACAGTCTGAGGTAATGGGAATGGCATGGAAAGAGTGGGCACAGACTAAACAACAGACTGAGTTCCTAGGTGATCTATGTGCCACTATGTGCCACTGGTTGCCATACAAGATGATAAAGAAAAGTTGCCCAAAGTTTGAACATCAGATTTAAGTGAAAATAAGACGTGTTTACAATGGGGATCCATTTTCTTGCAGCAATCCCATGAAAGTAGCCTTTTAACTTGTGCAATCTTTGCTTCCTCTTTCAATAACCTCTAACCCCACCTTTCTCTTTCAATAACCTCTAACCCCACCTTTCTCTTTCAATAACCTCTAACCCCACCTTTCTCTTTCAATAACCTCTAACCCCACCTTTCTCTTTCAATAACCTCTAACCCCACCTTTCTCTTTCCACCCAAAAAAGTGTCAGTATCTCATGTCTCAAACTCCATTATTATTATCTGAGTGGCATAAATCTGCATAGGCTCAGTCATAAATCTGCATAGGCTCAGTCATAAATCTGCATAGGCTCAGTCAACAACCTGCATAGGCTCAGTCAAAAATCTGCATAGGCTCAGTCAACAACCTGCATAGGCTCAGTCAACAATCTGCATAGGCTCAGTCAACAACCTGCATAGGCTCAGTCAACAACCTGCATAGGCTCAGTCAACAACCTGCATAGGCTCAGTCAACAATCTGCATAGGCTCAGTCAACAACCTGCATAGGCTCAGTCAACAAGTTTCTAAAGAAACTAACATTTTTGGTTTGAATGTTTAAACATGAATTCATTTTCTCCCTTTCCAAATTTGACATGTATTTTGGAATTTCTATCAGTGTGATTTTCTTCTTTTTGTCAAACATATTGAAGCCTTTTCTGCCAAACTTGACAGAGCATAAGTCAGTTTTCAACCCTGAAAATTATGATAATGTTATCAATAATCTATCTGTTGATATTATTTAATTCAAAGGAGGGGGTCCTAAATTTGCAGAATTAGATATTAAAATATTGAATCTTCGAGAACTCACTTTGAAATGGCACATGTGGAAACTTAAGACAAAAATCAATTTTAATGATTATTACTGTTGGTTATTTCTTGTTTATATAGACTAAGGATCATTTAATAATTGAGTCATTTATTTAGACTAGTTTCCCTGCACAAAATACTTGAATTCACAGTACATAAACTCAAAAGCCTTCACTGATCACTCCTTGATTGTTAAACATCTTTCCAACAAATTTTAGAAAATTTAAAAGCATAAAACAATATTGTTACTGGTCATTTACTGGTCATTTACTGGTCATTTACAACATGTACAAGAAGCAACTAGTAACTATACCTGAAAATTCCATCTAATTTATTCCTCGTCTTTAGAACCCAAGTTAAACTGGAAAACACCTTTACTCTTTAATCTTTCGTAGTGTGCATCATTATCAAATGTTCTGAGCAAGTAAAACAAAATGGTTTATAATTTAACACAGTCAATGATTTTGAAGGTATAAAACATCAATAGCATCAGTATAAAATTAAATGGTCTCGTATATGGCATTGGTATAAATGGTCTTGTATATGGCATCGGTATAAAAGGTCTTGTATATGGCATCAGTATAAATGGTCTTGTATATGGCATCAGTATAAATGGTCTTGTATATGCATCAGTCTGTATATGCCATCAGTATAAATGGTCTTGTATATGGCATCGGTATAAATGGTCTTGTACATGGTATCGGTATAAAAGGTCTTGTATATGGCATCGGTATAAATGGTCTTGTATATGGCATCGGTATAAAAGGTCTTGTATATGGCATTGGTATAAATGGTCTTGTATATGGCATCAGTATAAATGGTCTTGTATATGGCATCAGTATAAATGGTCTTGTATATGGCATCAGTATAAATGGTCTTGTATATGGCATCAGTATAAATGGTCTTGTATGTGTAAAAAGATGTGGGGAAAGCTTTAAGATTTTTTTTTGAAATCTCAAGAATTTAACAAAATCATGGTCTTATCTATGTGTTTTCTCCCACATTATAGCTAACATAATAAAAATTCCCACAGGTACTACATCATGTAAACTAGCAGGACAAAGACTATAAAAATATGTCAGAACTGAGGCATTTTAATCAAAATTTAAAAAAATGAAAAAATAAAACTAACTTATTGAATTCCTCAAAGTGCTTCCTTCTCTGAGCTTTGACACCAAAATTGTAGGCCATTGCACATGTTATTGAAACTGTAAGGGCTATGATGAAGTCCTTCTTTGTCTTATTCATGAGCAGGTTACGAAGTGCTGGTTTTGCCGTCGCCATCTGTCAATTAAAAGTTTTAAAAAATTTTGACCCAAAGCAAGCAAATTTGTACCGATGTTTAAAACAAGCTTACTTGCATTTGCTACTCAGCCATTGCTTTCATCCATACATGATTTGGAGTAGAAAATTGTATCAAAGGTTGTACAATTGCTTTCAATGATAGAAAGCAATGGTGTCCATAATTTAAATATATATCAATAGAAACAAGGAAGAATATTCTTCCTTCAACTCAATATGCCCTGAAACTAATGGCTTTAAATTTTCATGAACATTGTTTTGTTCATTTTAGGGTCAAAGTAAGGCAATTTTGTTGTCTTGATAATCCAAACTCTAAAACTTAATTCAATGTTCAGGTTTATTTGGTCGTGATATCAATAAGTCTTCGTGAGCTTAAGAATAAACAAAATTACAAGCAATCTTCAATTCAAATCCAAGAATTTCAATTTTTCTATGCAAAGAGGGTTGAAAAGTGTTCAGTTATTAAAGGGTTAAAACTATTTCTAGTTATGAAAATGCCAAGTATGTGCATTTTGGAAATGCTTTGAAATACACCACTCATACAGAAATCACACCCTGTGGAGCAACAGTTATAATGCCTGCATCTTGACCTGGAGGTTGCCAGTTTGAAATCATCTAGGGTTAACTATAATACGGGTAAATGCTAAGATGGAATGGAAAATTAACCTAGAAAGGTAGATATTCTTGGGGAGGTGGTAAGCCCTAAGTGGAGAAAAAACCTTAAACAGCATTAAAAGATAGCAGCCAATATGGCATGATATTAAAAATTGACTTTCTAAGTTACAACTGCTGTACTGTAATAAATTTAGCACAATAAAAAAAGTGTAAAAAACCCCCAAAAGACCTCTCTTATAAAGTAAGCAGGCCATTAGGCACTATTTTTTTCTCAATTTAATTGTATACCTCCACCAACCAACCATATATATATTCATCAAAATACTAAAAACTAAGAACCTTTTGGAAAATGTTTAAATTTGATTTTTTTAAATACCCTGGAAGACCTTTGGTTTCTCACACTAAGAATGAATACTTAAGAAATAATAAAAATGATGCAGCGTGAATATCATTTATGCATATATTAAGTTGATTACTTGAAAAAAAAAAACAGCAAGGTTTGATATCATAACATCCAGGTCACCGAATTTTGTTAAAGAACTTTTAAAAAAGGTCCCCATGCTGCTGTCAAGAAGATTGAATTTCAATTTTGTGGTCTGTTAAGGCCTCAAAATTCAATTTTGTAGCAATGAAGGAAAAACCTTACTATAAATATAATTGTACTGCAATAAACAACAAGATGCAAATTATCAACAACCACATGGAGGACCAGACCCTTTAATGAGCTCCCCAACTCTAGAAGAAACTATGATTATTATATAAAAAAAAAAATCACAAAATAACTGCCCCCCCCCCCCCCCAAAAAAAAAAAAAAAAAAACAAAAAAACACCCCCCCCCCCCCCCCCCAAAAAAAACAAAAACAAACAACAATAATACACAAAAAAGGTTCCAAACTTCAGTGCACAAACTACAGAGGAATTTCTCTGTAAAATGTTACATACAAAATACTGACAAAATTAATTGCCAAAAGACTACAACCATACACTGAAAAAATATTAGGTGACTATCAACGTGAATTCAGGCAAAACAGATCAATAACTGATCAGATTTTCACCATCAGATGCCGATTAGAGAAATACGAATATAATATACCAGTACATCAAGTCTGTGTGGACTATAAAATGGCCCAAGACAGCATCAAAAGAAAATATCTGCATGAGACTCTGCAGGAGTTTGGCATACTCAACAAACTGACAAGACTGATACATGTAGCGTTAACAACTCAAAAAGCAAAATCAAGATTCAGGGAGAATATTCAAGGGAATTTCAGATTAGACAAGGCCTAAGATAAGGAGACTCACTGTCTTGTATGCTATTTAACCTGACATTAGAGAGAAGAATACATATTGGCACATGAGGAACAATAACAGGATACTTTCTCAGGGAGACCCAAGACCCACACACAATGGGCACGCTCTGCTATCAACCCCATCAGTATCTTACATATGCTGATGACATAGCACTGTTAGGGAAAGTATTAAAGACAAATCAAAAGCCTTTATTGAATAAGAAGACACATCACTATAAGCAGGACTGGAAGTTAACCAAAAAAAAAATACATGACCATGATGACAGAAGAACAGACAGATAAAGTCATTAAAATTAGAAACCACACATTTGAAAAAGTAAATCAATTCAAATACCTAGGATCTTTAGTAAATGGAAAACAAAAATTACTAACAGAAATAAAGTAAAGAATATCGGCCGGAAACAGGGCCTACTTCAGTAGTGAGAAAATACTCAAAAGTAAAAACACTACAAGAAAAACAAAACAAACTATTTATAAAACTGTAATCACACCAGTTGTAACGTACACAAGTGAAACTTGGACCCTAACAAAAATGGCAGAAAACCTTTTAAACACATGGGAGAGAAAAGTTCTCAGGAAAATATATGGACCAACAAAGGATTAATATGGATAGAGAACGCGAACCAACCAGGAATTATACAGTCTATATCAGGATCCCATGCTAGTAGCAGAAAAAAAAAGGTAGGCTACGCTGGGCAGGACACTTAGAAATAATGCCAAATGACAGGAGTGAAGAGGGTACATCATCAAAACTCCAGAGGAAAACGGCCCAAGGCAGACCTAGGCTTAGATGGATAGATGATGTGGAAAAAGTCTACAGCACCTGGCAATTCAAGCGTGGAAGTGGAAAAGACAAGCATTAGTTAGAGCTGAGTGGAAGAAAGTAGTGAGGCAGGCCAAAGCCCTACATGGGCTGTAGAACCACAGCGATGGGTGGATCCAATAAATAAACAAAAAAATTAGTAGTTTACATAAGTGACTTGTCTAAAAAATTAACAACAAATATATTTACTATACTAGATTAATATGTTCATTCCCAAATGGTGGTCTGCAGACAGGCACCAGTCTGAAAGCCTTACATGGTCAGTATGCACAAGATTCAAGAAACTGGATAAATCTGTTACTTAAAGTGAAACTGTGTAGGCTTACTGCTAGAACCAAAAAAAATGTAATGGCTCGCATTAAATGTTAATAGTGATCATATATTTCAGTGTATTATGTTAGAAATTTTGGGTAAAAAATGCTCAAAAGTTAGGGATTCACATTATCCGCACATCCTGGAAACACTTTATACTATCATAGCAACAAGAAAAATGCATAAATGGTCTCTCCTCGGGTGTGCTTGCATTCTAACATGTATATGTCTTTCCTAAATGGATATATTATAAATCACAACTTTTAAATGAAAATAGCTTGTTTGAAGTCTGATTTTCATCCAATCGAAGTAAAGCAATTAAAAGAAAATTAGTCCACATTATGAATTTAGAAGTAATTAATGATAATTCATCTGTTTATTATGCTAGTTCTAGCAGATTCCTGTCACTGTCAGTTACACTGTATTGAATTTAAATAAATTGAAATAAATAGAGTCCGTCTTGACAAAGTTACTGTTTTAAAACCTTAGGATTTCACCATTCCCTGGGAAAAAATACATGTTATGGAACTGTATAAACAGATCACACACGTGGACATTTAAGGGCTTTTTTCACATGGTCATTAGAGTCCTGTTGCCTTGGATGAATGCAGATTGATGACATTTATGGTCATATGGATGGTTGGTGCAGTGGCAAACATCCACAAGTCCATGAAACTTAAAAGTAACAAAAGTTTGGGGGCTAATGTTGGCTCAGTGCGCCAGGATGAGTTTCAGTGTATGATTACTATGATTCTCTCTTTTGTTTATTCTTGGATTGTTAAAAGAGTTAACTTTTCTTTTCTTTTAGGTTTTAATTATAATTTCATTGGGTGGCTAATTATAATATTTAAATTTTCCGGCATTCGGAAAAAGGCAATTGTATTTTTTATTGACTATTGATTTTCAGGACAACTTTTTTATTTTATTTTTGGTGGAACCTGCAATAAATGGTGTCAAATTGTATTCAATAAAAAAATATTTTGAAATGTTTTTCTTCATTTTTATACTTTCCTCACCACAGTGTGTACTGTAGCACACGTTTTAGTTGGGGGAAGGGAGAGACCTCAGATTGTTGAGACTTCTTGCAGCATATCTAGATGGGAAATGAGTGGCGCACCAAACCAACATTTACCAAGTTTGGGAAACAGTGACACTTTCTTGATGACATTTCCCCCAAAAATTTAGCTATTGAATGTGACATTTAGCATCATAAAACTGACTAAAAGGCATATTTGTATCCCTGCATAGACTTCATTTTATTGTATTTTAAAGCAAATAGACCCAAGTTTTTCTTCTTCTTGAAATAGGGACCTGGCGGCACTCCTCAGAACGGTGATCCCAAATGTCAAATAAAAATGGTGGTTCCAAATCTCAAATAAAATACTTTTCATGAGAAAGTGCACGGCTACCAGCCTAATAGCTACCGATAACTGGTGTACGGTGTCTTAAGAGTTTATGTTTAATGCAGGGTGACCAAACATCCCGTAAAAACAGGATTGTCCAGTTTTTTCACGATTGTACCCGGTGTCCCGAAAAAGTCTCTCGGAATGCCTAAATGTCCCTTTTCTAAAACTAAACATTTTCAAATCACTACAACTTCCTAATTTATAATATAACTTCAAGTAAATTGGGCTAGCTGTGTAGGAAGTGCCAGTAGTGATGTAGGCTTGCGTGATGGCTGCACTGTTTCCCATCCACCGCTCTGCTGATGCTGTGTTACTGTGTAAACAACAGTGTCCCTGCCATAGATCTTATGTATAAAATAAGTATTCACGGCAAAATTATTGTTTTCATTTATGATATGCCTCAGAGTTTAAATTAAATTACAAAAGTGAAGGTAAATTTAAAAAGATTTCTAGGTCTCAAAATAGTTAAAATGAGCATATTTTAATAAACAGTTTCCGGCGGAGGCCCCTGAACCCCTCTTTAGCTGGAGGGTATCCCCCCCCCCCCAACCCTGCTTGGGTGTGTCCCATTTTTTCCAGTTCATGATTTGGTCCCCCTGGTCTAATGGCCTATTTAAATTTATATATTTTATTGAAGATCGATAAATTTAAAAAGATTTCTAGGTCTCAAAATAGTTAAAATGAGCATATTTTAATAAACAGTTTCCGGCGGAGGCCCCGGAACCCCTCTTTTGCTGGAGGGTACCCCCCCCCCCCCAACCCTGCTTGGGTGTGTCCCATTTTTTCCAGTTCATGATTTGGTCCCCCTGGTCTAATGGCCTATTTAAATTTATATATTTTATTGAAGATCGCAATCTTATTCAGTCTTCAGCTCTTATTCATCATCATCTCCTAAAAAAAAAAGAAGAAAAATAAAGAAAAATATCTCTGTTGAATTGCTGTTTCGTATTAAACACTGTTCTGCAAGCCACACTAACCAAAGACAAAGCATGCTGTCATTCTGTCAGTGATACTATACAGTGCCTTCGGCGTTGTGTCATAACTTTGCAGAATGTTTCCTGAAAATAGAACCGGCGCTTGCAGTCTGCTGGCCATTGTACTGTTTATTTTATATTATTACAAGCAAAAATTATTCTGCAAATAAAATTAGAGGTTATCAATTACATCACCAATTATCAATGGCTATATAAGGCTGGTAACCAGGCACTGACTTGATACTTTGGTAAACCAAGGGAGGCTACTACTTTTTGTGTATCGGAAATGGCAATCGGCGCCGAAAAATCTGAGTTTTTAATTTTCCGATGCATGTGTCTATTTATTATTAAATGAGTGCTTTCGGCATATATTTGAGTTCAGTTTCCGGCCTTATAATTAGGTACACATGTTGGCCTACATTTACATTGATTTTTTAAAATTTTTCAATCGACCTGTATTTTGAGATTCCCCTTAAAATATAAGGCATCTTTCACTATAAAATTCGTATAGAAGTTCAACTTTTATGTCTTTAAAAAAAAGTATTATTCTGTATTATCTATCGATGTGTATTTGAGTCAATTCTCAATGAGTTAGGACATGTCGGTCACTTGTTATGCTCACTTGAGAGAACCCCTATATGGTAATGTAGCTCAGCCCAATTTCGATAAGGAAGTGACCACGCCCCCTTTCAGTTGCGGAAGACGCCGTTATTTAGGAAATATTAAATTATTTCCACTATTTTCATCAAAATATTTGATAACTTATGTTTTAGAATGAATTTAAATGTTATTGAAAGAATAATATTTTAATTTGAGGTTAAAAAACCCGGTAGAGTCCATATTATACATGATCAAAATTCGCGTGTGCAAAATGTCATGGCGGCCATTCACAGTGACTTGCATAATGGCTATTATTTACTACTATCTCAGAGATTTCCTTCATAAATGTTTGCCGAGTGCAAAAACTATTAAACTAGGTCAGGGAAAGCTTTAATTAATTAGTCATGTACCAAAGTTGAAAATTCAACAGTTCCCATACAGTATTTTCGTAATTAGGGCATGAGTTGCCTTATATAGACTATATAGCAAATATTGGTATAATGGACGTCGTAGATTTGGTAAACAGAAAAGCCATATATTAATACATTATATTAAATTTACTGATATAAATAGTGCATAGTTAGATAAGCCACAATTTATCTATAATTGTTAACATTATTAAACTTATTTTTTTAATACAGCATTAGTTCTGAAAATAAAATCATCATTAAAACAAGAGTTATATAAATCGTTACGCGAACAGTGGAATTGGGTACCAGAAAATGGAGATGCGGTCCATGTTAAAAAAGGACAAATTAAGTCGTAGGCCCTACTTTAAAAATACATAACTTTAAAACTACAACAGCAAAAAATATGATTTTGGTGTTATAATTCTTTTAAAAATTAGCTCTATTCAACTATGCCATTTTTTTTTTTTAAGGTTTAATTTTTGTGACCAAAGTATCTACACTGACTATTTGACATTTGGGACCACCATTCTAGGGAGTGCGGAACGGGCTCTCGAGTGTTGAAGTACCCGTCGTGATGTTCATACACTGAAGGCCTATTTTTAAAAGAGTCATCCATTATATGGCCAGTAGGCCTAGAACTAGAGTCTCAATTTCAAATAATATGAATTAAATCATATTCATCAAAATTCATATATATTATTATATTATAAAAAGAAGTCTTGCCTCGGGGTCGTTTATTGAAAACTTGGTATAGTTCCAATCACAGCTTTAAAAAGGGAACTAAATTCGTAACATACAAACTTTTACAAAATTGCAAGTTTTTATGATCTGAATCAAATCTTTCTTTCAGATCGGTACTCACGCTGTAGTTGCTGGAAAATATATTATGTGTTCGTTCGTGCAGTAGTCTGGAACACAGAATTCGACCTTCGTGTAAACCGGAACAACTAATGTCACGTTACACGTAAGGGGGATAACTAAAGAATAACTAAGCCAACTTGGTCGAAAGAGATTTGAACACCATTCTGTCAATGCATCGCAAAGTGCCTACAAAATTATGACTTTGCACGGTTACCTGCGATCATACTTTAATATCAAGATTTTATCATAGGAATGAAAGTCTTCGTCAATGAATAATCCAGAAATTTAAACATCAGAACGTAACAACCAATCAATGTACATTTATGGGTTGTTTGGGTGCGTAAAATACATGTTTTGTTAATTAACAGAGTGGGTGAGCCAAGTCAATTTGCATTAGGCTCATTAGGCTAGCGTTAAATAAGTCAGTGAATTTCAGTGGGTCAACGCTTTGAAAATATTTCTTTTTTTTAAGAAGCAAAGCTGCTAAATAAATGTTAAAGTGTTAGGGTTTATAAATATAAAGTGTCTGATAAAAGAAATAATATCCCAGTTTAAAATTAGCTAGTTAGTTGTATCAACTTATGTCTATGTTGAACAAAACCCTCAGACTGTAAGTACTATGACGGAATAATTTAATGTGTAGTGTACTGTGTAAAGTAAGTGAATGTAACAGGGAATGCCAAAGGCGTAAATGGGTAAGTAGATTAAGTTTAAGTTTACATGATTTTTTTACCGTGGATAATTCCATGGATAGGAACCTAGTAGTAGTAGGCCTACTAAGCTTGTTTAATTTATTAATTTTATTAGTTGTCAGAAAACAGAACAGATCGTAGTAAGTTAAGTAAGTATGCCTACTTGCAACTCCATGGACTCTTTTAAAATAGTTGATTTTCGGCAGGGAAGTGGGGAACATGATCCTCGCTCATTGAGGCGTGCTAAATCAAAAACCAAAATAATATTTATAAGTATACACTAAGTTGTTTAAAAACTTCGAGTCGTGAAATTTTCTTGAATAGAATAAAAGGGTTTAATTTTGAAATATAATTTTCAACCGTAGATTTGATATATTTTAAAGTATGTACAATACACAGAATGCTACACAGTTACAAATTAATACTTTAATTAAAAAATGTACTTCCGAAATCTCTGGACAATCTGTCAACTTTCTGAACATTCTGTCAACTTTCTGGATATTCTGTCAATTTTCTGGATATTCTGTCAACTTTCTGGATATTTTGTCAATTTTCTGGATATTCTGTCAACTTTCTGGATATTCTATCAACTTTCTGGACATCCTGTCTACCTTCTGGATGTTACCCTAATATGAAAAGTAAACGGATTAATCCCATCTGCCTAAAGACCCACTGACAGCCATTGTTACGCATTGTATCCATCCTCCCACCGCAAATCATGCAAAGACTCTTTCGCTTTCTCCCAACTTCTCAGTCTACTTCGCCTCTGTCAGTTCGATGAAGACTTTTTAGATAGGGCTAATGAAATGATGGACTTCTTCCACTCCAGATCTTATCCTGTAAGTACTCTTGTCTCGCCACCCAAGCACTATCACATGTAGGGCTGCTTTCAAACCTCGTCCAATAATAAATGAAGATCGAAAAAACTCATACTAACCTACAACCCTCACAATGTGGTTGCCAAAAAAAAAAAAAAATTCATAAAGAATCGACGAAATCCCGACACCAACAGGATATTCTCATCCCCTCCATTTTTTTGTCTTCAGGCGGGATACACATCTAACACCCAAGCACCATCACATGTAGGGCTGCTTTCAAACCTCGTCCAAAAATAAATGAAGATCGAAAAAACTCATACTAACCTACAACCCTCACAATGTGGTTGCCAAAAAAAAAAAAAAAATTCATAAAGAATCGACGAAATCCCGACACCAACAGGATATTCTCATCCCCTCCATTTTTTTGTCTTCAGGCGGGATACACATCTAGGTGACCCTCTGGTTCACAGTCGTCTTTGAGCTAACCTGTCTAAACCATGCTCAAGAAACCGTTGAAGGTTTTGAAAAAAAATCACTCGAAACCAAAAACATTAGACGCCCTAAATGTACATTTATAATCAAAGAGGGCTTCACATGTAAGCTCACCAGATTTTCTAGATCAGGCCCGTTCTTAGGCATACGCTGACTATGCATACGCGTAGGGCTCCGAACGTTAGGGGGCCCCCGTGAGGCGCCCTCGATCCCCCGTTTTTTTTTTTTAAACTGGCACTGCAGCCGTCTGTGTCCTGAAATTTATCGTTCTGAGTTGAATTCAGAGGCAGGGGAAGGGAAGCAGCAGGAGGGAGCTTTGGGGGTGGCAGACAGGAAATCGGGGGCTTGGTCGTGGGAATGGGAAAGAAGAGGAAACATTGATGAAGGCAGAATGGAGGTGCCGCAGTGGTGGGTGGTGTTTTCTCCTCAGCTCGAGGGAGCTTCACCCCTGGACCCCCCCTCCTTCCGGGGCCCCCAACCTACGCTCCATGCTTAGGGCCCCCAAACTCCTAAAAACGGCTCTGTCTGGATGCCTAATACGGACACAACAACCGGAGACATAGCATTTAAAAAAATTTCCATTCTCAAGAAGCATATCATAAAATTGAGGACATATTAGATCAATGTTACACGGAAGAATCAAAATATTCCAGAGTGATTACTTTCAGATGCAATTTCTCAGACGCCCAAACATGGTTTGCCTGAGAGAAAGCCGCATTTGTGCCGGGAAGGCTGGATAAAAAAATCAAGCAATAGTTTCATATTTACACAATGTACACCATTTGCTTTGAAGTGTAGAAATATTTGCACCCACTTTTGATCTACAGAAATATTTTGCGGGTTCAATTCTTCCAGCTTGGCAGGGGGAAAAATGGTTTCACATGAGTTAGCTCATCAAAGAGGTCGCTATCAACAATCGTCCCTGGGAAGATTTCATTGACATAAGTGACACGCCTTTCTACGTTGTCCCAGGAAGGGAATACTTGCAAAGTCACCCAAGTAAATTTTTCAAAATCTTCAAGTGAATAGACCAACGCTGCAGATATGTTACACGTCATGTACCATAGAAATCAAACACTTTTGTTTCTATCTCTCTTGCATTTATTTCATCTGCTTCTCCGAATGTCTAAACTTACTGCGAATAATGAGTGGAACAAATTTATGTTCTAACCTTTCCTGACATTTTAGCAGAAGACTCTGCAATTCCTCAGCTACTTGAACAAATCTTACAGTCTGACTTGAAATCTTTTTGAAACACATCAGCTTGGTTGTGTAGAAAATAGAACCATATATTTCTGCAGTTGTATTTTAAAAAAAGACTGTTTGAGCACTACGCTCTAGAGACCCAAATTCCGGTCACAGTTTCAAAGACAATGACCAAGTAGGCCGGAAGTCACCCTTCCCGCACTGGCCACGGCACAGGCTGCGCAGATAGTCTCACGTGGTTTCACGCAGTTTTTGAGAAATGTTCCGCACGATGGCGCTGGAGCTATTTATTTGCGGAGAAATAAGACAAATGGAATAAGGCAAGCAAGTGGTTGCTGTCAAAAGTACAGACCAGCCGGACGATTGGAAAGTATGGACAAATACGGACGCAAAAATTGGTACGGGCAAGAGGGTGGGAAATGCAGACGTACTAATTAAACATTGATCTTTTCTTCTTCTACGAGGATGCGTCACATGTGGGTACAATTAGTGATCGGTTGCATTGCAAAGTGTGTGTGTGTGGGGGAGGGGGGGTAAGAGATTCATGTTTGGAATTTTTAGGGTGTCTTTAACACAGTCGATCCACCCACGGTGTGGTCTTCCCATCGCCTCGACACCGGACTGCTTGCTATTTTAGGCTTGGAATACGGGTTGCTTTACAAGTATTCTGAAAAGGTGGATCAACCCATTCACTTGTGGGTTGGACATTGACTGACTGTTTGAACCACTAGGTTCATTTCCTGGTTGTGCATGTGCTCCCTTCTTATTATTAAAGACTTCCTTTCTACTCACAAACCCGTTGGGTTTGTCAGTTTGTGGCATAATTTTGTATTGTCACTTAAGACAATGTCGTTCGGTCGATTCGGTCGTCCTCGTGCAGTGATCACCTGGTGAACGACGTGTGAAGTGTGGGTAGGTGACCGATGTCAAGTCCACAGATATGAGTGCTCTTCATCTCATTGCTATAACTAAAGCAAATTATAAAGCAAGTTATACGAGGGCTCTTCATCTCAATGTTAACTAAAGCTGCAAGAGCCAAGTTATACGAGGGCTCTTCATCTCAATGTTAACTAAAGCAGCAAGAGCCAAGTTATACGAGGGCTCTTCATCTCAATGTTAACTAAAGCTGCAAGAGCCAAGTTATACGAGGACTCTTGATCTCAATGTTAACTAAAGCTGCAAGAGCCAAGTTATATGAGGTCTCTTCATCTCAATGTTAACTAAAGCTGCAAGAGCCAAGTTATGTGAGGACTCTTCATCTCAATGTTAACTAAAGCTGCAAGAGCCAAGTTATGTGACGACTCTTCATCTCAATGTTAACTAAAGCTGCAAGAGCCAAGTTATATAAGGACTCTTCATCTCAATGTTAACTAAAGCTGCAAGAGCCAAGACTTTTTCATAATTTTTTTTAATGAGTTGCAACACTCAGACGATGTTCACGGGAAATGTCCTTTTGTTTACAAATCTGTTTATGTACACTTACCAAATCCAGCTGTATGGCTTGTAATTATTGAGTTACTGGTACCAGCACCGCTGAGTATGTATAGATAATCAAACGACATACGAGAAATGTTGTCGAGAAACATGAACACAACACAAGAGGTGGTGCGAGCAGCTTGTCGCCCTCTAGCTGTGTCATTCGTTGCCCAGACTATGCACGTCATTTCATTTCACCTCGAAATTCTCACTGAAAATGCGAATGCCTTTATATTTTGCGGACCGTCGAGTTTCACAGAATAATGGAACGTTGTGTCAGTAGAACCTTGGCTTTAGAATTGCTCGATAAAACTGATTGATCGTTTTTATTGTACTAATGGGATGACAAACTCGAACACCTGAGTTCAAATCATTAACCGTCAGAGGGAGCCGATGCACAGAGCAAGGAACAAAAGCTGCTTTTGTTAAAATCGTGCGTATTTTAGCCTGAGCACCGGTTTCCTTTGCTGCCATTGTCAAACAACCGTCATATCCCTGTTCAAGTCATTTGACATGTTCAGACCACATTGTTGCAGTCATTCAGAAAAAGCATCTGTCAATGCAGCATCTGTCATTGCAGATTCTGCCATTTGCTCCAGTGTTTGGAATCCAATAAATTCTTCACGAGTTTTAAAAGCACTATCTACGCTGTCTACAAAACGTACAGTCAACGGCAATTGTACTGCTCCCGACACATCAGAAGCTTTATCGGCTGATATTGAGAATCCTATAGCCTATGGGATTATTTACTGATGTAATAATTGTTTGTATTTATAACCCTCCCCATGTCTCTATCAGTTGATTTCGGATCCTTTGAGAAGTGTAACGCTCATTACCAACGGACGTCTGTGAATGTGTCCCCAGGTGGTCTTTGCCGCCAGCCTCCACTCTAAACTGAAACAGATCATGATCAATGTCCCCTGTCACTATTTTTACCATCACTATTTTGACCTCGCAGTGCGATGTCGTGTGCTATGCAGAAAATGATTTTGGATAATATGGGAAAAAGCTTTTTTCGAATTTCTAAAATCTTATGAGAATTAGACTTGTCTATCTGACTTATAAATAGACTTGTCTATCTGACTTAGAAATAGACTTGTCTATCTGACTTAGAAATAGAATTGTCTATCTGACTTGGGATCAAATAGACTTGTCTATCTGACTTGGGATCAAATAGACTTGTCTATCTGACTTGGGATCAAATAGACTTGTCTATCTGACTTAGGATCAAATAGACTTGTCTATCTGACTTAGGGTTCCCGGTCTCCGGTTGACATGTCTGTGGTGGCTTGTCGATTAGGAGGCGTCGGCCACCGACCACCTCGACGTTACCCGGGAAACACAACCACTGGGCGTGTCCTGCGTGGGCAGACAAGGGATGTGCTCGGTACCTGCCGTACATAAAATAGCTCCTACAGGGATGCCAGTTGTGATATTTCCCAACTGGAACAATAGGCAGAGACAGGGTAGGGATCATGATTACTGGATATGAGGCGAGAGGCAAAGGTGGTAACCTCTGGCCGATGATTCTTACTACGCAGCCCTGAGAAGCTGCTCCAAGGCAACCGTTTCGTCCCAGCTACATCGCGAATTAGTTGCGTTGTGGAAACCCACTGTAAAATCCCTCTTATAGGGCGTCTAACGCTTCCCTGGGATGGGTGGGAGAAGATATTAGGACGTAAAATTTTTCCATCCCGACTCCTGAGAAATTCGATCGAGTGCACTGTGTCCAAACACAGTGTCGGACCGACCGGGTGTCTTTGGGTTAGGAAGGCCCCCGGTGGAGACCCTGGTCGAGCAGACTCGGGTGGGGGCTGTCTTGACAAAGGGACATCCCCGACGTGCCGCTCCGCGGCCCGATACCGGGTTGGGGAGGGGTGTTTTGGGGAGGGCATAAAGAGCGCAAGCTCGACGGCCCGCTGACGCCATTTCTTAATGTAATATCTGACTTATAAGGATATGCCGGTCTAAATTCCTAATGATGCTCACGAATGCTATTGCATCCTGCTGAGCACCTTTGTGCCACTCACTTTCCACAGGATTACGAGCACCTTGAGGAAAGTCATTGTACTTAGTGAAAGCTGTTGCTAAAAATGCGCCTTTGTACCTGCCATGAATGGGCTGCGGGAAAACAAGCCAGGCATACCGAGAACAAAGTTTTTGGCCACGTCTGTCCTCGTGCAATTGTAACTTGCTATTGGTCAGTTGGGTTATGATTCAACGATGTTTAAAATAATCTGACAGTTGAGATGTTGACTGGAGCTAGCGACCCAAATCAAAATTACCGATTGCCCTATTATGTGTTGATATTTTAGTGTCACATCTCAGTGATGCCGATAGTAATGAATCGCAGCTTTGAGAACCACTGGCACCAGCTTCAAACTCCCGCGAGAGTGAAATGTTCAAGTCACTACCTTTAGTTTGTTCCTCAACGTGCTGGTCCTCTCTTGTCCGTGTCGTTGATGTGGACCCAGTTGTTATAGGTTACATGTCTTAGACTCATCATCATCAAATGATTTCTTTTGTCATTTAGCCGACCTCTCCGTCCACATGGCACTCAACGTTTGCGGCTGCTTACGTGCAGGGCTGTCCTTGTTATCAATATTAACTTTACTGGGAGTCATAAATCTGTCTATCCATAGGTTTACCTTTGACTACGACTAGTACCACTGCGTCTGTCACTTCAGAATGACCGTCCACGAATCTCTAACTCTACTACCCGTGTCCCCAAAAACTGTTCTGTTATATTTCCCGTAACGTGACTATAAAATAAACAGCTAAATACGCGTCCCGCGGTCATTGAATTGCTACACCATTAAAGACAACATTCTCCCGACAAGATTCTTTACCCCGGATGCCTAGCCCCCAGAGTTTCTTTCAGACATTGTCCGGGGGGGGGAGGGGGGGGGGGTGTTCAGTGGCCAGAGGCGTAGCTAAGGGGTGGTAGATGGGACATATGTCCCGGGCGCCAGACTAGCGGGGGCACAAAAATGGGCTTTCATTGTATTTAATGGTTGAAAGTAATTAGTTTCAGAGTTGAAAAGGGGCGGGGGGCGTAAAAATGAATAATGTCCCCTAAAGACAATCAATCGAGCTACGCCCCTTCCAGTGGCGTAGAAAAAGGGAGGATGAATTTGTTCACCCAGGTATCACTTTTTTTCTTTATATGGAGATGTAGCATTTTCGGCTAACTGTAGGGTTTGCATCGTGAAACAAGGAGAGTGGCAAAAATATGTTGCTTCCAATGTGGCACTAATAGTAGCTATGCCACTAGGCAGTGTATCTATCGGCACCAAAATTATCGCTCATTTTCATCGGGGAGTAGGGTAGAAATTGAGGACGCCGATGAATCTTGCTTTATTTATATCAATAAAATCAAGAGGAAGATCATGAAGATAAACTCAGCCAACCAAGAGCATGTCTCCCATCGTAAGAAATGCACTAGAAGAAGTGAAAGCCTTCACATACTTCGGCAGCACCATTGACTTAAATGGTGGATCCGAAGTGGATGGCATGGCTAGAATTGGAAAGGCCAGGTCAGCATCTGTGCTATTAAAGAGAATATGGGAGTAAGAGGAGCTGACTCTTCAAACTAATGTCAGAATTTTCAACACAATTGTCAAAACAGTCCTACTATATGTAGCCGAAACTTTGACAACAGCAACGAGCATTAAGCAGAAAGTACATACCTTCAAAAACACTTGCCTAAGAAAGATCTTGAACATCACATTGTCATCATCCCCAACAAAGACTTACTGGAAAGGACATACCATGAGCCTATTGCTGATCACATCATAAGGAAAAGATGGAGGAGGATAGGGCACACTCTCATCAAACGTCCAGATAACATCACCAGACAATGCCTAACATGAAATCTGCATGAGAAAACAAAAGAGAGGAAGCCCTAGAAATACACGGAGACGCGAGCTAGAGGCGGACACTTAAGTATGGGATACATACGGAAGCAATTGGAAAGGAACGCACGGGACCCGAGATGAATGGAAATTCTTGTAGAGACCCTATGCAGAAGACGGGGTAAACGGCATAAGTAAGGAAGTAAAAGGAATCTTGAGCGGTGGAGGGATCTGGGGAGCCTTCCCCACAAGAATTTTTAAATTATTATTTCAAAATCAAGAGGTGCATTCTAGAGTATAATTAATTTCAATGTTTCTGTGTCTATTTTTGATCAGGGGAAGGAAATGTGTAAAGGTCTGGTGAGGTATTATGGTGCCAATGCATACATAAACTGAATTCACTTAGTTGTGGCGTGCGCCAGTGTGATCATTTGGCACAAGTTTATATATTAAACCCATACTGTAACATTGATCAGCGTGAGGAAAGGGGTGCAGAAATTGAGGGTGCGGAAAACAGTCGCGCAAATTCAAATGCAAGGGGTGGCTTTTGGCGCATATTTGAATTCCATGTTTATTTCAGGCAATTTTGAGGTGACATTTCAAACTTTCGTGTGGGAAGCGCCTAAATTAGCCTTAATAATAATCAAAGAATTCTTTAACGCTGCACCAGCGGGACATGAACTAAATTCATTCCAGTTATGATCCCCTTGAAGGTATGCCTTTTCCCTAGCTTAATATCGCCTATGAAATCGTTATACTAGTTCCCAAATGTTTTTGATAAATTCAAAATAGAAGATTGCAATTTAGCAAATACTTTAATTTAGTTGTGCAACATTCTACACTCGGAGAGCAACGGAAGAGATGCTAGTTTTAAAACAATGTAGGTTCCACACAATCTTAGAAACATCCTGTGAGCCCAGCAACCCCTGCTGTGTGTGGACTGTCTGTAGGCCTATTGTTTAAAGGCTGGCAGGTAGGGTGTAGGACTGTCTGTAGGCCTTTTTTTTAAAAGCTGGTATGTATTCTAGAAAATGAGAAGCAACTCTTTTTTAAACACTTGGACCCACCGGTTAAAATAAACTGCACCCGGTAAAGCCCCAGTGTATAATTATATATATATATGTAATATATATTTATTTATATATATATATATATATATATATGCGTGTGTGTGTGTGCTTGTATGTATTGTGCAAACTGGTCACCTTAAAGTTCCTATGACGCATGTGTCAAGTATTCCCTCGAGACCAAAGTGATTATTCGTCGCCAGTGATGGATTACCTTAAACCAGGGGTGGCCAACCTTTTCAGCAGGCGGGCCAATTTCAGAAATAATATTTCCTGCCGGGTGAAGCACCATTGTTTGTTTTTGTTTTGTGTTAATGAAGTAAAGAAGCAAGCATGCTACAGTTTCGACCACATCGTCGCTTCCCATTTGCTGAGATCGTGGTCAAACGTATTGGTCTGGTTTAATGGTAACAAAATAATTAAAAATAGGTATTTTTATTTTTGTGAAAAAAATTAAAAAAATAAATAAGAATCAAACATATTTATTAGACAATTTAAAAATATTTAAAAGTGGGACATCTGACTTTGTTTTGCAGCAGTAAGTCCATCAAAATTGATCTCGAGTGATTTTGTCGCTACACGCAAACGGTTTTCCCAATGAACATCAGTAATTGGTGTTCTCACTTGTGACTTGGTGTGCTTCATACAACTAAAAAAGCTGTCCCCACGCTTAAGTGTTTCCAAACAGCGAATCCATCGTCAGATCATGTTTGTAAAGCACAGGATATTTATCCTTGCCTAAATAAGTTTTATAGAACTCTTCCAAACCACCTTCATGGCATTTCTTCTTTAACTGTGTATCACAACACATTCCACAAGGTTCCAATTGTAATCTTCCTGATAATACATTCACGTCTATACCGCGAATGGCGTTGCAAATACACAAAGAAGCACGTGATGTTTGTTTTTAAAATTCCTGAAATCGCTTTTCAAATTGGAGGTTTAAGTCGGACATCAAAGAAGGGTATCCTTGATCCGCCGCCTCACGTGTGTGACGTCTGGTTGCAATGACCTTGTAGGAAAGCGGGTACAGTTTTGTTTTTTCTTTCAACTGTTGTTCCCAAAGACCAAGTTTCATTTGAAAGGCATAAGTATAATCATGCATCTTATTAATTAATTGATCTTTCCATTGTGGACGAGTATTAACATCATTTAGGTAGCTAGTTATAGCGACCAGAAATGCAAACTCTCCAACCCACTCTTTGTCTTCAAACTCTGGGACACTTAATGACTTGCTTGCAAAGAATGATTGGCTCTCTTGCTGCAAATCAAACACTCTTTACAACATTTTGGCACGGGTCAGTCATCTTTCGTCTGCATACAAAATAAAGTCATTATTATCTGAGTCCAAAGACTTTAGAAATTCTTGGAACTGGTGGTGATTCAATGCGTTCGACTTAATGAAGATCCCTATTTTGACGACCACTTTTAGGATATGGTCCATTTTGAGCGACTTCGAACATTAATTCTCCTGATAAGTAATGCAATGAAAATTTAGTATTTGAAGAGTTCCCTACTTTACAGGCCTCATTTTCCATCAATTTGACTAAACCTACATGTCTCCCAACCATTGCTGGAGCACCATCCGTTGTTAAGACTAAACCTACGTGTTTCCCAACCATTGCTGGAGCACCATCCGTTGTTAAGACTAAACCTACGTGTTTCCCAACCATTGCTGGAGCACCATCCGTTGTTAAGACTAAACCTACGTGTTTCCCAACCATTGCTGGAGCACCATCCGTTGTTAAGACTAAACCTACGTGTTTCCCAACCATTGCTGGAGCACCATCCGTTGTTAAGACTAAACCTACGTGTTTCCCAACCATTGCTGGAGCACCATCCGTTGTTAAGCCTGATAAGTTGTTAATCTCGGTATTCAATAGCTTAAAAGCAATGATTTTTTTGAAAAATGCGAGAGATTTCAAATTTCTCAAGGCTATAATTTTTAAATATATGCTACGAACGACTCATGACGTAATGTTCTTTCAGGGATATCTACAATAAAGTTAACATTTATTTTCATTTGACACAGCTCCACCAGCCTCAATATGACCTTATTTTGGCCACCACTGCCCTAAAGGTCAGGGGGTCCCTCGCACTCTAAAGACTAAAGGCACGTATGACGTATACGGAATGGCGGGATTTTTCTTTCTTTCTTTCTTTTTTTTCTTTTTGCTACTTATTTTTCAAACATCACTTATTGATGAAGTAGTTTAAATAAATAGTTAAATCAAAATAATCAAACAGCATTACTATGTCAATTTAGTAGCAAATAAAATAAACATGGTGTGTAATAATATTCAGGCCAGGGAACCTAAGTTTCCACTAGCATCTGTTCCGTTGCATTCCGATTAAATGTAGAAGAAGAATCAAAACCTAAGAAGGCGTGGTTCCCTGACGTGCCTCATTTGCCTTTAGGCCAGTAGTCGGCAAACAGCAAACAGAGCCAAAAATCAGCAGCAGGATTTTAAAAAAATTTGAGAGCCAAATTTCTTTTCAAGAACCTGTCAAGAACTATGCTTTTGAGAGCCAAATTTCTTTTCAAGAACCTGTCAAGAACTATGCTTTTCGGAGTCAAAGCCGATTTGTGACCGACTGGCATAGCCGCACTCAGGTCGTCAAAGAGCCACATGCTGGCAGGCAAAATTTTCGAACGTCTTATTGACCCACCTTCCATCGACCTATCGAGCTGAAACTTGGCACGACACATTCTTTCAATTTTTTAGCCCCAACCCCAAAAATAAATTTGTACTGTTTTTCAATGGGAACATAAGGAAAATTCCCGATAACTGCACTAAATGAGATTCGTAAAAAAAAAAAAAAAGGTTGAAAGCGCGTTTGGGGTGTAATATTTCTTTCTTTTTTTTTTTTTTTTAGGAGCATCAACTGCTTGTGATCTACCTGTACTAAAATGTACGCCACAGTCGTTTAAAAAACAAAAAAAGATTCACATGGAAACGTCAAAGATATTTATCATATTCTTTCATTCATGCATATTGGAGAAAAAAGTCTGACAAGTTATGTCCCTTGACACCCCTGTTTTTCGTAAACATAGATGACCGGAGCCGTCGGGCATTGAAGATTCTTTTCCCATAAGCTTAGATTTGGATGATGGTTGACACCTCTGCTGGTGTTCATCAAAGTCTTNTTATTTTTATTATTATTTTTACTTACTTCTCCAATTTATTAAATAACTTGGCTACTGTACAATGTTTTGTATTTTTTTTTAAATTCGAACAAAACTAAGTTAGAAAAAAAAAAAAAATCCGTTCCAACAAATAAAATATTCCAGTTTTTCACTCGCACCTCTTAGCCTTCACATTTAAAATGAAGAAAATAATAATATATCAAATTTCCGTTCAAACAAACTTCCGCTTGACCAAATATCCATTCGACCAAACTTAAGTCGATCAAAAGTCGATCAATTTTCCGTCGACCAAAATTCTTTCCCCAAAAAATGTTCCGGATACGCTAATCAGGATAGCGGCGATGCGTGTCCGGGTCCATTTTGACTATATGCTATTCGGATGACATTTATGGTAGTTTATTTTAGTTAAACTGGAGAATTAAGTTTACAAACATATAGTCCATTCAATTTTCTTTCCTTTGATACCAAATTTTATCGAACAAACCCAACAATAATTTTTTAAACATTTTTTTAATCCCAACCTCTCACTTCTGGTAGCCGGGTTCGAATAGCCACTTCGAATCGGGAAATAGCCATTGCCGGGTTGAATTTTACAAATCTATGTTTATTTTCTGTTTTCTTGGAAATTCCTCTAAGTGTGTGATTATAATATTTAAACGATGTAAAATAGTTTCATTTACCTATTTAAATGATGTTTTTTTTTTTCCAGGCCAATTTCGTTGCTTGGGATGGTGAATAAATTTTAAAATCATAAAAACAATAATAACAGGATTTAACCATCTGGTTTTGAATAATTAAATATTGAAATTGGTATCGATACCTCACACTAATAGTGTCGTCACTCAGCGTTACGAAGCACAATTTCACATTTCCATTCCATTCGTACAGGTTCGAAATTTTCTGGTGGTGCTTCAGCCGAACAAGTGGGTAACGAAAAGACACACAAGATGAAGACCATTGCAACAAAAGTAAGTTGAAAATTTATGAAATTTTAATGGACTTAATTAATTATTAGAAAATTTCGTCAGTAGTGACAGTGTGTCAAATTGAGATTGCCAAGTCGGCCCAAGTCTAACTTAGAATTATTGCTAAGATTAATTTGAAGTTATTAAAAATAAGAAATCTACTATGAAGCAAGTACATAAAAATTGAAGAAAATGACCAATGTTAATATACTGTTTAAGGTATTGACTTCGGGACTATTGACCACTTTTAATTTTGTAAGATGTTGAATTAGGTCTATTTGTAGTTAAGTGTAGGACTAGTAGGAGTGCCAAGGCCAAGACCAACATCATTTGATCTCAGCCATCTACTGACGTAGACTACTAATACTGTTTAGGTACTTGGATAAAAAAATTTAAAAATTTTGTATAAATAAACTAATGGCTTATTTGAGTAGAGCTCATTTTTTTTTTTACAGAATTTTATACCACCAAAATCAAATTTTAGCTGTTGTAATTTTAAAGTTATGGATTTTTAAAGTACGAGTACGACTTGGTTTGTCCTTTTTAAAATTGTTTCATGGCATGGACCGCATCTTCACATTCACATTCTGTGACCCAATTCCGCTGTTTGATTCACGAGCTATATAACTCTTGTTTTAATGATAATTGTATATGACATTTATTTTCAGGACTTATGCTGTATTAAAAAATAATTTTAATTTTAATATTTAATTAATTTTTTTTTAAAAATAATTTTAATACAATGTTATAAAATTATAGATAAATTGTAGATTATCTAAAAATTCACTCTCATCTATTTATATCAGTAAATTTAATATAATGTATTAATTTGCAGCTTTTCTGTTTACCAAATCTACAGCGTCCATTATACCAGTATATCATAGTATATGCTATATAATCTATCGAAGTGGTTATGCGCAGCCGACTGCGTATAACCCTGAGAGTTATACGCAGTCGACAAGTCACGTGAGGTCTATATACGTCCTGTGTTACACTATCGATCGATAAAGGTGCCTCGTTGATAGATTGACTGGGTGGTCGAATGGTCTAAACTGAGCCAACCTCAAGTTGGGGGACTTGAGTTCAATTCCAGCCGAATGTCAGCCTGAGAGTTGTTATGCTTGTTCTCGAGAATGAAGCAAAAACAGCTTGGCTTATTGTTTTATTTTGTTGTGGCTAAAACATGTTTAAACATGATAAGAATTATTAACTTGACCAATGTAAGGTTAATAATTTTATTCTTATTATAATTATTATTATAATTATCATATTATATGTTTGTGTTGTTAACTAATTTTGTGGCAGATAAAAACATATTTCTTTGGTACAGTAGTTATAATCAGGGGTGGTGAGTAGCAGAAAAAATAGCTGTAGGGGCATGGGGTTCTGTAGAGAGGGCTCTGTATGTACTGTAAGTAATACTTTCAAACAGTTATAGTTTTGCATGGAAGCTGAAAATTGTTATATTTAGGTCACCAAAAAAAAAAAAATCATAAATTATATAATTTTTAAAAATAAATAGAATGTATTTCCTGAATTATTCAGTAAAAACAACCACATAGTCATAGCAACATTAAAAACCTAATCAATCAGAATACAGAACTAGACTTAGACCATGGAAATGCCTTTTAAAAAATCATCTTCTCAGGCTTAGACTCTAAGAAATGTAGACTTTGACTTAGATTTATAATTATAATATATAAGATACAAGCAATAATACTAATAATAGCACTAATACTATTACTATCATGCAATATTAATTAAAATTATTTCAATTAAAAGTTTACGTTAAACACATTAAAAGTTATAGTTCAAAACAATCAATCATGCAGCTATTTACACATAATACTTTTTTTTTAGATTGCCAAACTAGCGGTAATAAACCTTATTTGGCTAAATTCCCAGCCGACTGCGTATAACCCTGAGAGTCGGCTGGGAATAACGCTTCCCATAATCTATATAAGGCAATGCATCCCCTTATTACTAAAATACTGTTTGGGCAACTTTGGGAACTATTTATTTTGAACTTTCAACTTTGGCAAATGGCTAATTAATTAAAGCTTTCCCTGACCTGGTTTAATAGTTTTTGCACACGGCAATCGTTTATGAATGACACTCTGGGATACTACGGTATAGCCATTATAATGATATGAAATGCTTGATTTTAAATGCCTGACTCCAAGTCTGACAAAAACTGACTATAAATAAGTACAAGTCAGTACCGGGTACTGAAAGGGGATTTTACGTTTAAATTAAATTAAATATACTTTAACTAAATTATGATCAACTAAGGCTCTATGAGGTGGTATTTATATACAGCACGGGTAATATAATAATGCTGCATAGCAGCTTTTCGGACCCTGGTCCCATTAGACTAAATGCTATTCTGTCCTTTGTAGTAGTTTATTTTAGTTAAACTGAAGAAGTAAGTTCACAAACATATAGTCCATTCAATTATCTTTCATTTAATATCAAGTTTTGTCTAACAACCCAACAATAATAATTTTATAATTTTTAATCCCAACTTCTCACTTGAGGGACCTGGGTCCGAATAGCCACTTTGTAAAAAAAAGTTAAGCAGTTTTGGTGCCTCTTTCAAAAAATGAAAATTTGTGTAAATTTGTAAAGTGTAGTTAGAGGCATGGATAGGTTTTGATCGGCTACGGCTGTTTGGTAGTTTACTACCAATAGCTTCCAGGGAGCTATTTGTACTTGTAGTAAACTACCAATACTGTCAATAGCTTCTAGAGAGCTATTGGTACTCTCATACCAGTAGCTTCTAGGCGGCTAATGATACTTTACCATAAAAAATTACTAATTGGTGATAAATTGATGTAGTACAGTATTGTCTAAGTATTGGTAGTCACTATTTTTTAAAGTACATCACTGAAATCACTCTTAAGTCTTAAGTAGGTACGTGTAATTCCAACTTTTTTTCCCCTATACAATATGTTACCATAAAAACGTTTGTCAACATTTTAGACAGCTGTCTGGTGGTGGTGCACGTCAAAACTTATTTTTTGTGTCTAATTTCATAAATTCACTCCAAATTAGATTTTCAAGACATAATATAATGCACTTATTTTTCTTTGTATCTATTTTATGTATCACAGCTTGTTATCATCGGGTTCTGTGCCGTTAAAAACATTGATTCTGCATAGCATAAAAATAAAGTTTTAAAAAAAGTTTAATTTATTTTTGTTATAGATTAACAATTTACCCAATGAAATTATTTGATTGTACATAAAAATATCAATGCCTTAATGAAGCCTTTATCTTCAAACCTAATCACATTATAGCATTTCATTTTATTAAAGTAACAGGAGTGGGGTTTTTTAATATGCAGAAAAACTATCATTATGGTAATTATAGACATATTTAGGCCTATATTTTAGTTAATAATTTTAATCATAATAATTAGCACACACAAAATTTTACAATAAGCTTATTTACTTTGGCAAAAAAAGAAAATGGGTATAATTTTTCATAAATTTTTAATAGCAAGACCATTCTGCTTTCTAACAAACATTAAATGTTTGCAGAATAAGTTAAAAAGTGACAAGTGCAACTACTATATGTTGCAACAGATTTTGTGTTGGTACCAGTAGATGAAACATTAAAAGAAGACTCACTTAATATTTGAGTACAATGAAACTCAATTAGATCTAAAGATAAAAATTGTTGAACAACGGATTCTGCAGCAAAATGCCTTGAATCATATTTTATTTGATTTATAAATGGATTAATTAGTGGGGTATTATGTCTAGCATTTGAATTTAAAATTGACGATAATTTGGATAGTTTATTTATTTGAGAATCGTGTTAGATGATGCGGGCAGGTGTTTAGGTTTGTTTGATGATTTAAAATCATAAAAACTTTGATGGCATTTTCCAAATGTTTGAAAGTATCAAAAAAGCAATTTAAAGCTAAAATTCTTTCGGGATTCAGCCGAATTGTTGCCACTACCACAAGCTAGTAATAAATGAACGGGGCAATACTGATTATGATTAAAAGCGGGATTCGGCTTGATTTGATTGGCTGGACTACAATAGTAATCTACCAATAATAGACACTTTATTTTGCTTAGCTTAATTGAGTCTCACCCTAAGCGCACTGAAGTCACTTTGGGGACCTCCAACACTGTGCTTAGCGTGACAGTGACAAGACCAACAGTTGGACCTGAATTATGTGTATAACTTTCCCATTCTTCGTGGGCATTATATTTAAATATTCACGTCTTAAGCTAAATCTTACCATCAATACAGTTAATATGAAAAATATTAAAATTTCCATTTGTTTTTATTAAAATTCATCTTACAAGTTTCAAAAGAATTGTTAAAAAGAACTCGAATCTTAATTTGTGTCAATTAGCTTTTCATTGATTCCAATTTTATTATGGAGTCTTACTGATTAAAATTATTTAACCTAAACGAATACTGTTTGTAAAAATCCATATATTTGATTGGTTTAATTCATCAGATTCTTTCATATGTCGTAATAACACAGAATTGAACACAAGTCCTAACACATTTAATCAAAGACATGTAAGATATAGTGCAGCTACCTACAAGAAAGAAAGAATAAAACCCAACCAGCCACAAAGGTTCTTTTGACACTGCTGATGAATATATACTTATGACAAGAGGGCTTCATTAAATACTAACTCTCTTGAAACACACAGCAGACAATAAAATACTATCCATAGCTCGACAATAATAAGTTAATTCCCATACCATAATTTATCTATATTGCTGCACTATTGAATTTTAGTGAAAATCTTTGCCATATTCATAATTAAGGCTGGAGGATAAATTATAAATAGTATAAATATCTGGGCCTTTTAAAAATAAAATAAGGGCCAAAGGCTTATACTGACTATCATTATCAAGTCTATCTGTAGCCTGGTAAATATATTTTAGCAGGATGGGTTTCAACAAAGATTTCTGTCATCCAAAGAGCAGTAATGTCACTTTTGGGAATCCTAACAATGGACACAAGTTTAATAATTAGACCTGAACAGTGTGTACCCTAACTTTCCAATTCTTCACTGAGCATTATGCACATCATAATTTAAATCTAATGATAAAATTAATATAAAATATATTCTATGGAATTTTCCATTGGTTTTTTTTCAACTTACAAGTTTGAAAATAAATTAAAATTATATCCTTGTTAAAACACCAAAATGACCTATTTTTTACATTTTTGATAAAAGCTCAGTGTTATATGTAGGCTATATATTTTCATGGATGACATCAGTCATCATAATCTTTTTGATTTTGATACACATTTTTAACATTTTTAGATCCACACTTCACCATCAGATTATTGTCTGATTCTTTAGTATTTTTGTACACCGTTTAATCCAATTTGAGATCACCCGTCTTGCATGTGTATCAATATTTCAATTCATAAACAATGCATCTATAAATAACGACATGCAGAATTCAAGATGGTTAGGTTGTTAAATAAGATGAACTGACATCTGTTGAGGAAATAACTACCGGTATGTAAAACTAGCTCAACCAAACGGGGGCAGTGCACGAACTTCCCATCTGCCAAAGTTACTCGAAAAAGCATGAAAAGGAAAAAGAAAATATTGCCCATCACACTTGATGTATTTTTAAGAATCTCATTTAGTGCAGTTATCCATAAATTTATTGTTTATGCAGTTGAATTCATTTGATAGTGTCACTGAACTCTTCAACCTGAAAAAATGTGTTTTGTGTAACCTTTGTGACTTGTGCAAGATGTTTGCAACCTGATTAACATAAGTGTGGAAAAATTAGTTTTGAAAGTAAAAATGTTAAATAAATCTAAAAATACACATTTAGCATTTAAATTGTGCCACATTGCAAGATTCCTAAAGTCAAATAAAAGCGCATTTTAGCTCTTGATTTCAAGCTGCTATGAAAATCAAAGCTTATAAGATTATGTTATTTCTTTGGATTAATGTGTTTAAAAATAATTTACTATTTTAAGTTGCTGTAGTCATGGCAATGTGTGAAATTTTTTAAAGGTGATTACAGCCTCAAAACATTACAATTGTAATATAGGGCATAATATAGTAATATGGGCATAGTTTCAGAACATTACAATGGGCATAGTTTCAGCAGAAAAAAATGTCTGGATCTACATGGTTGTGTGACTGAGCTATTTATACCTTAAAGTCAAAATACTGATCTCGATTGATTACCGGGTAACATCAGTTTTAAGTCAGAGATGAAATGTTCACAAAATTCATTCAAAATTGTTTCAGAGGTGTCCAAATACCAGTAAATTGTGTTTGTAATATGAAGCAGTTTATGTTTTAATTGACATTCAATATAATAACCATCTTGTTGGATTCTTACAAGGTTAGCTGTATTTTACTTTTTAATTCCCATAACTGTGTCTTTTTGTGTCTATTTGAGAAAAAAGTTGGTGTCAAAACATTTTCTCTCTCCCCCCAAAAAATAAACTTAACAATCCACTACATTAAAGGATTTTTTAAAAACAGAATTGTCAATGTCATCCTAGCGATAACATAATATACCTTACCATTAACACTCATTGTTGTGCTACTGACATTAGTTTTATCGAACCATTTAAGTTGTGTGGATAAACAATGTTTTAAAACTCTTTAAGTAGAGTTGCAAACACAGCCATGATGGGGTTTGAGATACATAGGCTACAGGAGCTCTTAACTCTGCTGCTGCCATTACTATCCACTTAGCACAGTGAGTGATCAAATAAACCAATGGCTTAAAATCAATAACTCGTCTCTATCTAACAGGTTCCACAGCTATTGAAATTTGCTTGTAGCATTGCTCACACACAATTTGAAAATATTTTGTGCTCAGAGAATTGAATTGTATTGCTAATCATCCAAAGTGCTCAGTGAGCAAATATATTTGGTAGAAATGTGCTATAATTTTCAAGACCGTTTAGGACATACACCAGTTGGTAATCAAATTGGTTGTCTTTGAAGAAATTTAGATTGCTGGTTTTTGGGTGGGGAAAGCAAGGTTAGTTTTTTAATTTGCTTAATTAATATTTATTTAAATTGCTGAAAAAAATTGGGGAGTACAATCTTTGAATTGCCGGAAACCACTGCTTTGAATAATTAAAATGAAATTAACCACCATAAAGAAAAAAATATTTTTCTAATCCAAACAGCAAGAGTTTGACCAGCTGATCGCCAGTGAGAAAAACCTAATAGTGGTGGACTTTTATGCTACATGGTGCGGCCCATGCAAAGCTATTGCACCACATCTTGCAGTGAGTTTAAGTTTTTTTACAATTATTTTAATTTAGTGTGTTTATAATTATATTGGATGTTATTTGACGACTGAAGAAAAGAACTGAGGAAACCTATATTTCTGTGACATCATTTCATTTTTTTCCCTCAATAACAACTTTTATGTAGTTCAAGTATTAACAAATTAACACCACCACCACCCCCCTCACACCACCCCTTTCTGTAAAATTTTGTTCCAGCTTTATTCCCCGTTGATTTCTTTCAGGCCATTATCATTCACTGTAGCTTAAAAATGTATCATCAAGGCACTAGTGCTCCTGATGTCTAGTTTCATGTTTCAGGTTAATCATAAATATCTGCATGATAGTGGGGAGGGACAGGAACTCATTTAACATACAAATGATGCAAATGGATTCAGTAGTTCTAAATAGAATGTTAAATACACATGACTATGATTTCTTTGGGGAAGTGGGTAACAACTATGATACTCCCAGAAATTCTATTTCATGTTCTTTGTGTATGTCATATCAGTACTTAATTCATGGTAAATGCTGAATTATCCAAAGGTGATATTTTACTTGTTCATGTTATCTTTTTGTTGCTTAATTAAAAACATTAAGGATGCATTACTTTCATTTTTTTCAGAAATGGTCTGAGGAATATGATGATGTTACTTTTGTCAAAATTGATGTAGATGAGAATGATGTAAGTCATGTCAAAGTTGTACATCTTCTAAACAGTTTAAGACTGTCACTTAAAGTTTATATTAAGCATATAATTTTGCATATTTCCTTGTCTGTCCAACCACCAACACAATAATTTTAATCTCCAGATTTTATAAATCCTTAAAATATATATAAAATGAATAAATTAAATCTAAGATCATTTTTCATGGATTTTCGCTGATTGTTGAGGGGGGGGGGGGGGAGATCTCCTGGAACCCAACCCCTAAATTTAATGAGGGAAGACTGTTTTGATTAGTGCCATTGAATTGCATTATTTATTTTGTCCATCAGATAATGCTAAAATTATATACAGTAGCAAAGAGATTTTAATATTTGGACATAATACACAAAATATTTTACCTACTCTTTGGTAGCTGTGTTTTCTTAAATTTTTAATGTCTGCTTTACATTATTTTACACCATTTAGACAGGATTGTTAAAGAGCTTTATCAAAATGTTTAGACAGTATTGTTAAAGGGTCTTATAAATGTTGAGACAGGTAAGTAAAGACACTTAACAAAATGTCTTATTTGTGTGTCTTCTTGTACTTCAGGAGACAGCTGAATCCTGTGGAATCTCTGCCATGCCAACTTTTCACTTTTATAAGAATGGCAAAAAGGTTTGTAGATTAAAACATTCAGTTACTGTTACCTTTTATTTGAAGCGCTTGTACTTTGACATTTGTCTCCATCACTCATTTCGCAACTTGCAAACTAAAATAAACTAAAGGGAAAAAAGAACGAAGTAGATTAAACAAGGTATTAAGCTTTTGGTCTACAAATTTACATAATTTATTTTAACCCTTTGATGGCTTGAACCGCATATTGAGGACTGTTTAATTAGGTTTTAAACAATTATATGTATTTGAATGAAGATAACTTCAAATAGTTTTAACAGTCACTGAAAACATGATGAACCTCATTGTAACTTAAGCAACTTGGAAAATGAAGAACTCAGTGTGTGGAGACTGTTATTTGTGCTGTACATCAGAATCTGGCATTTTGAGCAACAGTAACTTGAGTAATATTGTTTTGGAAGAAAACAAGGAAGGCTTAATCCTAAGGAGTGCTTCTCAGCCAGCAGATCCAAATGGGATTTATGTAAAAGCATTTCATTGTTGTCAATGGCTTAATTTGACCTACTCTTATTGTCTTATTGTTCACCAGATTGATGAGATAGTTGGTGCCAACCATGAAAAGATCAAGGAGAAAATTCTGGCCTTGAAGTAGTCTGTTACTAAGTGTTAGAAAAACGCCTTTTATTTTCAATTGTGTTTATTTACTCTATTGGGCAAGATGGGACCTTCACTGAAGGATGGCAAACCAACATTTAGACAGCGGTATAGAGATTTATTTATTTATATATATATATATATACATGATGTCTTTTTAATTCACTACCAAAGAATGCTGACCGTTGTGACGGGACTAACAATAAAGATCAGTATTGAAGCATTTGATGCATGTAATCACATTATTAAACTGAGGCAGTACTGTATTATAATGTCTGTAAACGATGGGTTAACTTCCAACAGAGAGCATTCATAAAAAGGTTCATGGAGGGGTAACTACCTTGAAACACTGAATTCTGAACTCTTTCTCAATCAATAATAATAATATTCAGTGGGTGGAATGTATGTCCAGACAATGTTAAGTTTAACAATATTTGATCAATTATTTTTGTAAAGCTCAAGCTGTCATGATGCGGGTATCTAATAAGTACTCAAGCTGTCATGATGCGGGTATCTAAGAAGTACTCAAGCTGTCATGATGCAGGTATCTAATAAGTACTCAAGCTGTCATGATGCGGGTATCTAAGAAGTACTCAAGCTGTCATCTAATAAGTACTCTGTTTTTTATGCTGGGAAGAAAAGTAGCAAGACTCTAGCCCAGTTGGGAGGGAAGCTTTTAGCGATCTGTAGGGTTTAAGTAATACATCTGAATCAGTTCAACATGCATACAACCACACCTCGTTTTAGCTGAACCTGGAGATTTAGTTGTAAATGTTCTATGTGTATTAGCTTTTTTTTAACAAGTGCATACCACCAGTGGCAACTTTGCTGCTTAACATAGCTGTTGTTTGGTTGTTTAATTTGTGTGTGTGTCATATTTCTATCACCCTAAACCTAGCATCTCTCTCTCTCTCTCTCTCTCTCTCTCTCACTATCTCTCTCTCTGTTTTGTTGGACTAGAAAATAGTTCCATCATAGCAAAGACAAATGAAAATAAGTGATTGCAGGGCTTAAGAAAATTCATCTTTTTAAAGTGGTTTAAATCAAAATATTAACACAAAACCTTAAGTTGGCTTTCAAATGCAAAAGAAAATTTAAAACAAAAGCTTGGTTTTAAACTTAGATATTTTTATTTTGAATGCATTTATCATTGTCATAAAAAACTGGAACATGATCATTGTCATTAAAACCTGGAACATGATCATTGTCATTAAAACCTGGAACATGATCATTGTCACAAAAGTTGGAGTTACAAACATAATTATTTTAAAAAGTCAAAAATGCGACCCATTCCATTTGAATTAGTTCTCCCATTTTTAAAGTCATGGTTTTGTATGTTTTAGCATTGAACTTTGAACCCTAAATCAACGTGACTTGCATATATGAAATTACCACATTAATTATTAATAATCACAACTCTTCTGTTTCTTTTACAACTTGAATGTTTTGAAGAGCCACATACATTAAGTGATCTTTCACTTTTTACAAAAAGACTTTTTTAATTGGAAGTGGAAATTTTTCAATGTACCAGTATCTTTTCTTTTTTTTTTTTTTGTTGGTGTGGTTGGGGGGGGGGGGGTAATGAAATCTATGGAGTTTTAATTTCACTTTGAACATGTTGACCAGCTGTCCTAAACTGTCCATCTTATCATGTACTTGTCATTTGTAAACCAGTCTTCACTTTTAATTTCTATATTTGAAGCAATTTTTTTTTAATGAAGAATAAACACAAATTTCTTCTCATAAAACCATTTTGTTGTTTGAGTATTTGAGCGTATCATTTGTTATGTGTGTACTTGTATTATCACTCTACTAAATCATTGGTTAAAATGCATGCGGGTCTGTTGGGCACCTATCTCCAAAGTATGCAACCTCAGAATCGTGTTAAACAAGGAGCCAAATCATCAATAATACTGTGTATTATAACAACAGACTTCAACTTTTCAACTCAAGCAGACTTCGGACAGATCATATTTTTCGTGTGTTTTTATTTTTTGAAATTGATAAAAAGTGTATTGTTTGCTCGTTATTTAGTTCTTCAAGTGTATTGTTTGCTCGTTATTTAGTTCTTCAAGTGTATTGTTTGCTCGTTATTTAGTTCTTCAAGTGTATTGTTTGCTCGTTATTTAGTTCTTCAAGTGTATTGTTTGCTCGTTATTTAGTTCTTCAAGTGTATTGTTATATTATAACTTATATGATGTGCGGTGCATTTCTCTGTTGACTTAATTTATTATAGGATGTACGGTACACTTCTCAGATATACCGGTACTTAAATCGTTATCTCTCATGTTATAGCATAAATTATTTCCATAATAATCAAAGCTCTTTTTAAAATTGTATCATGTAAACTGAATTAGGTCAACTGTTGTTTTTTTTTATCTCCTCCAGTAAAGCCTGGCTTAAATAGTTTTTTTTTTGTTGTTTTTTTTAATAGTCCCTTATTCTGGAATGACCTAATTGTGATACGTGTCATTAGGGCGTCACTAATTGTCCGACCTGTTAGACAATTTATTTGCGTGTTATTGATTTTTGGCGGGTTTTCCTAAAGTTCAATGATGTGGACCCGGTCTCACACGATTATGGTTAGCCCATGTGTGCATTACGGACATCAATCAATACTACGCAGTGTGGAGGAACCCATTGGATGCAAGTGTTTTAGTGACTTGTAGATTGTGTTGGATGTTCCTTGAACATGTTAGATGGAACTGATCAAACCATGCCTAATTTAGTCATTACTTATTTTAATTTTAAAATGATCTATCCTTTCCGTGTGATCCAAAGTCTCAGGCTGGGTAAAAATTAATTCCATCATGCTAGTTGAGTACCGGTTCAACAATACATAATTGAGAATGCCTTCCCATGCAATGTATTCCCCAACATCATCGACTCATTCTGACATCTGTTTTGAACACAAGCTGTGAAATTGGGGTCATCCCCAGCGGCAGACAACTCTGAAGTACTGGTGCATGACGACACCAAATGTGTTACTCTCTAACTCAACTAACTGTAAAACTAAAAACTAGAAATACTTTTTTTAATTTGTATATACTGACTACAATGTTCAATGGATAACTCTTTGCTGTACATGCATTTCTGTTCCTTGACCCAGGAAGTTTAGAAATATATACCAAAGACATATTAATAATAAATAATATTCACCGGACGCCACCTTTGACACGCCTGCTTTAAGTTCACGTGCTGGAATCTCATTTAGTGCAGTTCTCGTGAATTTTATTGTATGAAATCAGTGTCATTGTATTTCGTTCATATTCCCCTTGAAAGACAGGAGCAGGAGAGTCTTTTTTATGAGAGGTGGTAGGCTGAATAGTTGATAGCATGTGTTGTCATTGGCAACGAGTCTATGTGCCAAGTTACAGCTCAGTAGGTTGACGGTAAGTGGGTCAATAAGCCGTCCGAAGATTTTGGCAGCCAGAAACACACGAACAAAAGCGAAGTTATAATTAAAGGATTTCAAAATATGAAAAGCTCAAACAGAATAAACCTACGCAATACGTAGTGATTAATGATTAAATAATTTGAAACAACAACATATTGGTCAATGTTAATTTTAACGTAGTTCATCAAGTGGTCCACTTATGATGAAAGTAGGATGGGTCATGGGATAATCGGGGACAAGACCCACATTGTTGGAATTCAGGTCTGATGCAAATGTTTTCCCTTTGAGTCTAATGTCTGAGTTAGACACGGAGTTTCAAAGTTAATGGAACACATTTCATTGTGTAACTTTAACCAGACAGCTTATCTTGTTACAATAGAGACCCTGCCACAACGCTATTCTGTTGTGATGTACCGGTACGAGACACTTGAGGAAGGGACCAGACAGGTAAACTGGGTCCTACTGACCGAGCCACATTGTTGCATTACCGGTATCCCAATGTTGAAAAAACAACCCAACAAGTGTCAAGTTGACTTCTGCAACATTGACAAAATACAACAATGTGCCTCGTGACCCAATTTAATTTAATTTTAATTTATTTATTTTTAAACACCAGAAATTACAAGGATCAAAGTCACTTTTTGTTTAAAAAAAAATAAATAAAAAATAAAAAAAATTTTATGGAGATGAAAAAGAAAATATTTCATTTTAAAGGAAATTAAAAATGCCAAACGAAAATTTTCAGAGGCAACCGTTTGGAAAGGGGGAGAAAAATCCCATTGAGGAATCTGGGCTTAAAAATGCAAATGGCAAGCCTGAAAGGAGAGTGTCCCGCTCTTGCTTACTAAACGTGTTGGGCTTGTTGTGTCACATCCGTATTTAGCTTGCATTGTCATGTTGTTTGAGCTGTATCCGTTTGGGACCGTTCAAAAAGTATGCCACTCTAGTTTTCTCAATGTCCCCGCTCCCCCTAGTGTCACTATCTGTCAAAAATCTCTGACACCCCGAACCCTCCCAGTGTAGGTCAAATTAAAAACAAAAACAAAATGTTTTAAAAATGAAGAACTAATTAAAACTCAATAAGTGCGGTTCACTATTCAAATGAGACACTACCAATACTACCAAGTGACATCTTCTTTCACAATACCGGTACATCCGGTACATCCAGCACAACAGAAAGTTAAACATCCCTGGCAATTTCAGCTTGGATTTTTATATGTATCATTTTTGAAACGTGTGATGTCACATATGATATAACACCCCACTATATGATATAACACCCCACTATATGATATAACACCCCACTATATGATATAACACCCCACTATATGATATAACACCCCACTATATGATATAAAACCCCACTATATGATAGAACACCCCACTATATGATAGAACACCCCACTATATGATATAACACCCCACTATATGATATAACACCCCACTATATGATATAACACCCCACTATATGATATAACACCCCACTATATGATATAACACCCCACTAATTGATATAACACCCCACTATATGATATAACACCCCACTATATGACATAACACCCCACTAATTGATATAACACCCCACTATATGATATAACACCCCACTATATGATATAACACCCCACTAATTGATATAACACCCCACTATATGATATAACACCCCACTATATGATATAACACCCCACTATATGATATAAAACCCCACTATATGATATAACACCCCACTATATGATATAACACCCCACTATATGATATAACACCCCACTATATGATATAACACCCCACTATATGATATAACACCCAACTATATAATATAACACCACACNACAGGTCGGCGTTTAACCAATCAGTGCATACTGACAGGTCGGCGTTTAACCAATCAGTGCATACTGACAGGTCGGCGTTTAACCAATCAGTGCATACTGACAGGTCGGCGTTTAACCAATCAGTGCATACTGACAGGTCGGCGTTTAACCAATCAGTGCATACTGACAGGTCGGCGTTTAACCAATCAGTGCATACTGACAGGTCGGCGTTTAACCAATCAGTGCATACTGACAGGTCGGCGTTTAACCAATCAGTGCAGATGTGACACAGGTCGGCGTTTAACCAATCAGTGCAGATGTGACACAGGTCGGCGTTTAACCAATCAGTGCAGATGTGACACAGGTCGGCGTTTAACCAATCAGTGCAGATGTGACACAGGTAGGCGTTTAACCAATCAGTGCAGATGTGACACAGGTAGGCGTTTAACCAATCAGTGCAGATGTGACACAGGTAGGCGTTTAACCAATCAGTGCAGATGTGACACAGGTAGGCGTTTAACCAATCAGTGCAGATGTGACACAGGTAGGCGTTTAATCAATCAGTGCATACTGACAGGTCGGCGTTTAACCAATCAGTGCATACTGACAGGTCGGCGTTTAACCAATCAGTGCATACTGACAGGTCGGCGTTTAATCAATCAGTGCAGATGTGACACAGGTCGGCGTTTAATCAATCAGTGCATACTGTAAGAAAAGAAGATGTCAACGTAAAATTACTTTCGTCGTGGGGAAAACCAAGCTGCATTTTTTCCCCCATGATAGGACCCCCGTCTGCAAGGGTTTTTGCCGTTGGACGGGTTTTGACCCCTGCGTGACGCAGCGGACTAATGTAAGACGATTAAAGTTGTCATTTGTGAATCAATTGTGAATGACATAGAATGATGGGTGATTCCATTGTTTCATTATCACCACGGGGATCTGATACAAGTGGCATCATGGCTGTTGTATCAAAGATTGATTAAATATCTGTGTGATGCCAGATTTTTTATTTCGCTCCAGCCGAAAAGAGTAACTGGGCGCAGCTTTTCCTCGGCATGGTCCTGGAACAAGGAGATCCAAACATTATGGTGGTGTTCTCTTGTTCTGACCAGGACATGAAGCGTTAGAGTAGATTATGTAGTTTAGAACATATACTATTAACTTTATAATCTAGAGCCTACACGTGCCAATGCTCGATGGCAAACTTTTTGTAGTATTAGGTCATGTCATTTTTTAAATAAAACAATTAAAAGCAACCGGGACTGTCAGTATGATCGGGGAAGGGGGAGGCAGAAATCGAGGGAGCCGAAGACTCACGAGCAACAGTGGGGTATGATTCGGGGACTCACTGAGATGCTAGCGGAACTGTAAGGGTCCCTTGACCTGGTTGTTTTATACAAAAAGTTTATTTTTTGTCGAAAATAACTATTTATGGTGGTTTATAATCTTTATTTAAACAATGTATTTGTGATGCTTTTTTTACAAAAATTGCCTAAAGATAAAATAATATGCCCGTTATCGTGACGTCACCAAAAGAAAATT